AATGCCATAGTTATAAAATAACTTTAAATGAAATAGTGGGAATTAAGGTTTTCATAAGATTGTATCTATGACAGTTGTGCAAAATCTAGATTAATCTATATTAGACTAGGAAAAATTGATTATAAAGTTGGTAATGCAAGGTCTTCTGAAATGTATTGCTTTGTATTAAAATAAATTTGGCTTGAAAAGGATTATAAAGTAAAAGAAAATATGACTAGGAAAGAAAGAATAGAAAGCAAAGAAAGAAGGGTAATTCTAAAGCATTGCCCTTTCTAAAGAACAGACAATTACATTAACTCAAAATGGCTTTACTACAATGAATAAAAAACAGATCAGGTCATATAACCATTATATGATATAATAAGATGCATTACCATTGCTATTGACTATGTCTTGGACTATGTATCATATTGTAAAATAATTTCTGTGAGGTTATAATCATTTGAACTACCTAACTCTGTTAAGTAACTTCTTGAAGTGCAGAACATAAAAATGAGAAAAGCCTGTTATTCCATCATGTGACATATCATTTCAAGGAATGTTGTACAAAATAACAGTGGATATTCTGAATTAACAATGGATATTCTGGAAAATGGATAATTATTAAACCTGGCTAAAGATGCCAGGCTTTAAATACTGTAGTTGAAGTGTGTTGTGGAGAGCACTTTAGCACCTGCTGAATCTGACAAATATCATTTAGGTGGCAGACAAAGGTGTAGTGATAACTAACATAATTTCTGGTTTTATATTCTGTAGGATATGCTTACGTTTTCCTGAAACATTTACCTGCCATGGAGAAGTTTTCCATGAATGGTTTAAGAGTTGATTTTTTTTCTTATTTTTTTTAGTAATTGACGAAAAATTGCTTTGGATTTTACTGTTTTGTTTTTTTTAGATGCAGGAATATTCTTCCAAAAGAGAAGATTATGATTCTTCACAAAGACCTTTTTTTTCTTACATAGAAAGATTAAGGCACTTGGCCAAGGAAGCAGAGTCTGAGCTCTGCTACTTCACATTTTCTGTGCTTGCCTACAGTATAGCCTGCAGTGAGACGTTGTAGATCGCCCTAGTGTAGACCCGGACTAGGCCAAGATCTGGAGTAATTCTTTGCTGTCTGATTTACACTGCTTCTCTGAATAAGCTAAAAATAAGCAAAGGCTGCCTGTTGGGAGCATAAACAAACTGAGATCTTGATTTTTTCTGCCAAGGTGCTACCACCTGAGGATATGGAGTTTTCATGCTCCAAGCCAACAAACTGTTGTATGGATTTGGTTTATTTCAGTGCTGCGAGCACAGCTCTTCTTGTTATTTATACTACAGCAGGACATGAATTTTCCAGGCACAATTATGGTGACATGCTGCTGGAGACAGTGCAAACACACCTGCTGTCACAGCTTTGCAGTCTGAACAGACAAAACACAGAGAGACCGAAGGCACAGAAAGGTGAAAAGCCTGATCCAAGGTGAAGAAATGATGTCTTATATTGCAGGTTAAGCATATGCCTGAGCCCAGGACTGTGCCTTATTTAGTCTTCTACCTCTCTGTAATTGTGTCCAAATTACTGAAAAATTAAACATTCGTGTCAGCTACCAGGTGCTGAATAACAACTGAGAAGTGCACCGAATAATTTCTGGGGAATTAGCTTAACAGCAGTGACTTAAATCAACTTTGGAAAGTTTACAACAAAATGAAAGAGTGGGGAGCTGGAGCAGCTGTTGCTCACTGCTTTTTAGCTCAGACCTTGCTAGCTCTCCCCATCATCCCATTTATCCCAGCATGGGATAAAACTCAGGTAGATCCAATCATCTTTTACCTGAAGCCTTGAGACCTTCTGTGAAGTGTCACAACTTGAGAAAATTAACAGTATGGATGGTTTAGAACCAAATTTGTGGTATAAACTTAACCATTCTGTCCATGAAGCAGAGCTGGAAAAGCCTCGGAATTTGTCTTGTCCCTAGATTTTTGCCATAAATATTCATAGTATTTTAGACAGCAGATCTAGTAGCAGATCTGTCCTAGCACCATTTAATAGTTGTCCATGGCCATTGCTGTCTGTGGAAGGAGCGTAGGATGGACAGCATTTTGCCCCAGATGGGTAATTATCTAAGGACACATATAGATGTCCTAATGTAAGTAAGAAAGAAATCCTTGAATTAAGATTATTTTTGATTATAAACTGAGATTATACCCAGGATGAAGCCAAAGTCAATAGCACAAGTGCCTTATGACTCAGAGGTACTCTCTCTGGTGAGCAGTGCAGGTTTTGTAAGCCTGGGCACAAGAATGCCACAGTCTGAATGTTCTCCCAGCAGATTAAAAACAGTTACTCTATGCCATGGGATATATACTGGCTGTATTTTACTAGATTGTGTATCACGGTCTTGAGGCAAGAATGGATTGAATAAACTCTCTCCACTCAATATTTCCTGTTCATGTGGGTTTCACACTTAAAGCATTTTATTCTTTCATTTTCCTGTGTCTTTTGTATTTTTGCCCAGTGTGACTTTCAAGTGTTTTGATTTTAGTAATGCTTTGCCAATCTATCTATCTTATTATATTCATGTTTCTGCTTTTCCTTTGTGAAATTAATGTGTCAAAGGAATTTAACTTTGCCTTGTGAGGATGTGAGCATACATTGTGAGAATGGATGTTAATCTCTCCATCTTAACAGGTGATAGCTCCCATGTGAAATATGACTGGAGCAACCAAGAGCTTGTTAAAAGCCAGGAAAAGCTAGCATAAAGGTTTTGTCATGAGGATTTTTCACTGCCTTATAAAAACATCCTGTGTGGACTTGGAATCCTGCTTCTGGCTGCAGTGTGATCTGGTTGGGAGTCAGTGATACATATTCTATTCAAAAAAGATGTTCGTCAGTTTGATTGAAATGCTACAAGTCCTCAGCCTCGCAGTTGTGTACAGATAGGAGGGCTTGGCTATTCAGGCAGAGTTGCCAGCGGACAGAAGTGTTCAAGTAACCTGTGCTGCCTGTGATTTTTATACAAATGAGCCTAGGTTGCCATTGTGGAGGGCTAGGGGCTCACTGATTGTGTTTTACCAAGCAAATGTACTGTACTATTAAGAAAATGAACACTTGAAGAAAGCTGAAACGTGGGCACATGTTGAAAAGCTGATTGCTGCCCGGAGGGGTGGCAGCCGCAGCAGGGGAGGGAGCAGGCATGCAGTCAGTATCATTCAGTCACTTTCCAACACACAACTGACCTAGTTTTCCCTATTGGGACAGGCATAGTGGGGCTGGTGTGAATCTTGGGCTGATGTAGGTTACTCGTGGGAATTAGGCCCTGCAGCGTTCCTTCTCAGGCTTACTGACAAGGCTACAGCTGCAATTTTATACTGGCAATGCCTAGCTCCTTGCCTGAGCATCAAATCCTTTATCCTGTTTTACCTTCTGTGCATTTCGGGTGGGGTTTTGGCTGTATACTCTATTACAGACTTTTCCTAAAGAACTTTATGGGGCAAAAGGTGGTTACTATTCCCGTAGCAAATACTATAGACTTCGAAAGGAGCTGGGTCTAAATGTTCTCTGTCAGAGCAAGAATGCCTGTTCCTAGCCCAGCCTTCACCAGGCTTTGGTTATTTGTCAGTACTGGTCCACTTGAGGCATCCCATTCAAAACTCACCCAGGTTGTTTCACTGTTTTGGCTTTACATATGCTTCATTCTGTGTAATTTTAAACTACTTAGCATTTCATGTCAGTGAAATTTTAAGTTTAATGTAGAAGGGGTGATATTTCATTTGCAATAAGGAAACAAATTAAGTTTATGATGTCAGTTAAAACTGAGATTTTTGAGGAATGTTAAGTAAATTAGGTCCCCTAATCTTGCTGCATTGCAGTAAGACTTGGGCATTTTAGCTTAAAATCCCAGCCTAAAAATACACTCATGTGACCTCTGAGAAACTGCCTAAAGCCAGTGGTGAGAATTTATTTTGGCAGATTACCAACATCTTCCTATAATATGAGAGGAAACTTGCTCATTTCTGAGCTAAATGTTAATTCAGACTGGGAATTGAAAAAAATGTAGGAGAATACAAAGATTTAAAATGACATAAGTTGTAAGGAAATATTTTTGGTGAATAAGTATGTTTAGCTGCAGGTCCTAATGCTGAGAATTAATCAAGTTCCTTGTATTAGTGCTAAGAAAGGTATTTCTTTTGAAGTTAACATAACATGCAGCTGTTATGTACAGTTACTGTCTGCAGTAATAACTGCAGTTACCCAAGAATTTTTTAATACAGCTTTTCAGTGGAAAATTTATGAGACTGAGGGGGAATGTACTAGTTCAGATAATATTTACTTGCATCAAAAGTTTCTGCTGTAAGCCAGAGGCAGCTTCCGATTGCAAAAAAAATAGTATAGTTTTTGTGTTAGCTCCAATTTCTCTTCTGCCTGATTCCTTTGGCTGTTCTAAGACTTCTACTTTCTCTGCTACTTTTTGGAAAAAATACCGTATATGGAAAGGGACTATTTTAAAATTCACAGCAGTTTTCACAGGAGAGGAGTACTATTTTTTGACTAATAGTGCAATAAAAATATGCATGGCCCATATCTATCATCTTAGGCAATCTATAGGAGACTTTTCAGGTACTTGTTATTTCAAAACCCAAAATATGGTATTTGGTTCGTATTTATCTAGGTATTTTACATAATTTGTTCAGGTACTCAAATACATGATAATGTATTTATGTTATTTACGGTCTTTCTAAAATTATAGCCCAACTCAGACCTAAGATGTGCAGAAGTGATTGTCAGAAAATCTGATAGTGTGTGTTGTAGGATGACCATTTGATATTCATCTGTGAATTACCTGAAACATTTCACAATGTTGTTTACACACACGCACAAAACTATGAAAATTAATTTCAGAGTTAATTTGGGAAGCTATTTGGTCTCTTTACAGTAGACATCTTGGCATATTATGCTTTCAGGGCTTTTATTGTAGTTCCTATACTACATAGATACATTTTTTTTCTTGTCTCCTCAGAAATTTTCCCAAGAGATTCCAGTCTAAAAGACAAGTTCATAAAACACTTTACAGGTAAGGCAGCTGCTTGTTTCTACATATGCATATTCTAAGTAGCTTTTTTTGAGGTTCTGCACCAAGTTTAACACTTGTGAAGTTAAATTTGCGTATTTTAGGACTAGAAACTTTTAAAGAACTGTGATTACGTTGAGGTTTGAGTCTCTCTTTGAATAATCTAGCCTAAAATAACTTTCAAAACATGGTAAGTTATAACATCATTTAAAACTTATTGTTTCATTTTTATCATCCTATTGTTGCTTACCATATTTATTTTCAAGTTCACTAATTTTAAAACTTCTCATTGGACTGCACATACTTTTCAGAAACAGACCTATGTGGCCATGTAAGTTTGCACTATATCAGGGAAATACTTTTTGTTTTCTGTCTCATGATGTGTACATGTGGATGCTTATTTTAACATGCGAAACAAATAGAACAAGGAAGGATTAAATCAGTGTAAATGAAACAGAAAAAGAATTTGCTATTTCAAATATGAAAGATTATTATGATTACAGTCAAGTACTTACTTGAAAACTCAGGTGGAGTTGTATAATACACTTACCTTTGGGACCCTGTTTTGTAACTACTGGGAAAGATACTGTACCCTCTGAATATATGCAAAAACAGTTGCCAACAGCAAGATTATTGCATTGATTCTTTACTCTCCAGTTCCAAATGTTCTGTAATTCTGAAAAGTGAAGGTCTCAGACTACGACACTGCAAATATGTTGGTGATTTTCAACGTTATTTGGATTAGTGAAACTAAAAACTAAAGAAATAGTTGGCAGTTGGAGCATGAAAAAAAGAATTGGAAATAATAAAGCATTTCCTCTTTGCTGGAAAATTCAGACAGTCCTTGGCAAGAAAGGAAGGAATTCGTTGTCTCTTTTGCATGGGGGAGATGTCCTCAAACCTTTAGGATAAGCACAGCTTGAAGGAACTTTGTACCAACTGCTAACTGCAGCCTAACAGCATCTACAGGAAATGTGCCACACCCAGCTGGTCCTTCACACTTCTAGTAAACAAGAGTAATTATGAACCTTACTATTTTTAGCCCATATGAGAAAGAAATGAAAAGAATGTATAGATTCCAACTATGCTATCCTGTGTAGCACAGGAATACTGAAAATTCTTCTCCTGGGGAGGACAGACAAGAAAGGCTTGGATTAATACTTAATCCATTTCCTTTTCATTTTTAACTTTGGAAAATGCTCAGCTACCATAAAAAGCTCAACATAAGAATCTGGGGAAGCTAAATAATGAATACAGAACAAGTTTTGTTACTCAAAAACAACAGCGAAAAACTACCATGTGTTTTACAGAAGGTAAACTAAATCATAGAAAAGAAAAAGAGTAAAAAATACCTGAAGGCCTGTTTCTGGAGCCATTCATTAAATTAATAGTCCTTTTCTGTGTGAGTAGTTGCCATCAAAATTGCTGAAATTATTTGACAAACATTACCTGGAATGAATAAGGAAAGCAACTTCATTCCAAAATTCTTGAAGTTTATTTGCTGGCTCAGAATTTCTGCCTACACATCTTTTTTTTTTTTTTTTTTTTTAAATTATGTCCTTAAGATCTGCAGTGATGGGTTTTTCTGCCTGTTTTTTTTTTTTTCTTTTCCACAGCTCTATTAAGTCCTGTAATCCGCAGGCTTTTTCTTAAAATACAGCCTATGTTTTTCTTGATTCTGTTCAAATCATAATCCTTTTTCTATCAACCTTAGTTAAGTAAACTGTTCAGATATAGTCCTTACCAGTTCAAGAGTTAGAACATCCTAAACTAAGGAAGTTGTGAAAAAGAGAAGAGAAGGGGAAATCAACATTATCTTTACAGTCCATTATCTTTACAGTTTCAGGGTTAAGAAAATTATTATACACTTCTAGTATGCCAAGAATAGTAGACACATTTTAAAGCCAAATATGAACCATATGTAACAGTCTTTGACTATAGCAAAAATCATAAATAATCTTGTGAATCATAAAGCTATCTAACAATTCAGCTTGAAAAGCCAGCTGCCACAGAGTGCTCTGTAAGGCACAAATAAAATTAACAGCCTATTATTTTTGATGGCAAGGAAGAGTACTAGAAAACCATATATTAACTGAAAGGACACAAAATTTATTTAGTGACAAAAACTGATCTTATCTCCATATACCTTGGATAATTTCAAATTATGTATTTTCTCTTGAGCCTAATGACTCACTCATAAAAAATGGCAACAATCTTCCAGTTCAAAGTTGCAAAGGCTGCTTTGTCAGTTTGTTGAAAAGCTTATTTGTGGCTGACAAATCTCATGAAATCCACATATTATTGTAAAATATACCTAATGTTCAAGTGTGTTCACTGTCACAGAGAGGAATCTTCTCTCAAGCTTTTGGTAGTTTGGCTCTACTATCAACAGAGAATTGGCTTGGTATGTTTTACCAGGCTGGTAAACCACCTTTCAAGTTGTGAAATAAGTAATTTTTGCCTTGGAATGCTTGCTACCTTCCTCTGACAGGAAAGTTAGTCAACACAGCGTGCTTCATATGGATTCTTTTGTAGCATTGCTTGAAACAAGCTGTTCTTATTCAGGGTTCCTATTTGTGCTGAATTTAGAGGGTGCAAGTTAAATTTAGTCTTGTTCAGTTAGTGTCAATTTATGTCAGTGTTTTCTGTCCAAATCACAGGAAACTCATCCCCAGCTGTCAGTGGTAGTATTGCTAAGCAGGTTACATGATGCAAATATTACATTTTTGCTCTCCATTTCAACTTGGATGCCATCAGTAATACCTTCCCAGGGCCATCAGTGGTTATGGAAGGGCTCTTTGGCAACTTGTTACCTTTGAGCCATGCTTTGGAGACCAGTAGCTATATATTCTTATCAAATATTTATGTGGGCAGATGACTGTATATCCAGAGAAGGGAGCACAGGCTGGAAGAACAAAGACACAGCACGCTACACCATGGGCACACAGGGATTTGCCTCACCCAAACATTGAAACACATGCTGCCCTCTGTGCATCTGCACCCTTTCTTGCTAGGACTACTTTAACAGGAGATCAGGTTCCTAGATGTTATTCAGCTGTCATTTTTTTTTCCTCAACACCCACATTGTATATTAAGACCTTCATAAACCATCTATGTGCAAATTAGAAGCATTAGTACATGAAACCACTTCATCTTTCCAGGACTTAGAAACTCATATTTGATTAAAATGATGCTTTTATTTATCTTTAGAAATAATATGCACATTCCATCTACATTATTCCTTCTACATTAGACTACTGAGGACTACTGACAAGCAAACTAAATTCTGTTGTAGTTGCACTATTCTATTTTTCGCCATATAAGAAATTTTACTGTTAATTTTGAATTACTGGAAATTCGAGGCTAAGCCAATCCATCATTTCCAAGGGCCATTTTCCCATTAATCAGATCATGAGCATAATAGCATAGCAAGAGTATTTCTTTCTGTTATTTCAGTAGCATTGCTATACTTGCATTGCATCATAATTGTTTAAGGTGTAGTAAAGGACTAAATGTAATTTTAGACAAAAACCCCTGAACTTAATTTTATGTGTTTCTGTCATTCATTGAAGCTGCAAAGCAGTGACATTGAAAGCATGTGGTTAACTCCTGCTTACTTTCAAACAGGGCCAGTCACATTTTCATCAGAGTGTAGCAAGCACTTTCATCGACTGTATCACAACACAAGGGACTGCTCAACGCCAGCCTGTAAGTAGTAATTAAAGTGCTTTATAATGCTAGCTGTGATACTTGTTTAAAAGCAACCTATTTTTTCTACTCAGTGTTTGATGTGCTGGTCCTTCTGTAACTGTTGCTCTTTACTTTAGCACTATACTACAAAATATACCCAAGTTGTTCTAATATACAAAGATTTTCTATTAATGCACTTGCAATCAATTGCATGTAATGGAGTTCCTTCAAAGTGAGACTAGCATAAATGAAATGAAAACTACACTCTGAAAAACCAGTCGGGCAGAGGGCAGATATGAAGCCCTATGCAGAGGGCAGATATGAAGCCATATTCTCCTTCCTGCTCCTTTTACCTCTACTTATTAACTTGTACAATAAGATAAAATCTGAACTATTCTCTACCTTCTCTTAACGCTCAATAGTATGGTTATATCTTGGTTTTTTTAGTGTATTTCAGTTTGTGATGATAATTTTCTATTATATGTGTATTGTTAAAGAACATTAGATCACTTAATTCGTCATTTCTGTTATTGATACGTGGAGTTCTTATCAAACAATATTCCAGTAAGAGATCCACAGAAGTTTTGCTTTAACACAGCCTGAATGTAATTTTGTCAGAGACTGAAAAATAAAACTGTCCTAAGATTTTATTAAACAGATAAAACAAACAAACAAACCAAACAAACAAAAAAACCCAAACAAAATGGAAATCCCTTAAAAAGAAGTTACTTCAGCATTGTCTAGTGCAAGGGACAATTAAAATAAAGTGAGTGGAAAATAAGCAATACCATTTAGTTAGAAAAGGTGAATCTCGTTAGTGATGTGTAAGCACAAACTATGGACCGAGGTGCTTTGGAAATTTTTCAGGATTTAACATGAAAAAACAATGACACTTCTTGTCTGCATCACTTGGAAAGTTGGTAAGCACTTTTTGTGAGCAGCTGAGATACTCTCTTACCAAAGCTCAGCACCTCAGAGGATCTGACTTTTGAAAGGGACTGGAGCGGCCCTCGTCTCCATCCACCCTTACACTGATCAGAAGTTGGAATGTAGCAATCCATGGCTGATCCTCAAAAGATATACATATAGCTTTGTAAGTACACATATGAGTAGGCTAGACATATATCTATTACATGCTGCATAACAAAAATACCATGCATGTTGCACATTGCATGCCTTGATACGTGGATCCAGATAATATGAATATTATTTGGACTCCCCTGTATTGCCTGAGTGCTTCACTTTATCTATGAAGAAACACAATCATAATATTTCTCTTCTAATTCAATAGCTTTTCTCTAAACTTAAAAACAAGGTTGTGGTTAGGACTGTGTGAAGAACTGATTTTTATGTTCAACTATGAAAACAAAATGTAAAATAAAAAATGCAATTAAAACAAAACAATGGGTTTTTTTTCTCCTTTATGTCAATGAAACCCAAAGCAGACAATGAGTTTCAGTCAGCCTGAAATGTTCTGTTCATCTAAAAAGGAGAGCTAAATCCTCAGAACTGTCTCTACCTTATCCAGCACTCAGGGTTTAGAATAGCTATCAAGGCTGATCATAGCCAGGATGTCTTCCTGTCTCTTTAGAGGGGTTTGATATTTTCTTTCAGGGACACCTTAGCCACTATAGGATGTCTGAGGAAGAGTTACTTCCTCTCTTGCTGACATGGTTATATTCTGTGCAAACATTCCCTGAAGAACTGAACCCAGGTTAGCAATCAGTCTCTTGCTGTTTGGCACAATTTCTATTAAGTTTTATTAAAATACCTATTAAGCAAGAGAAGAAAATTGCACCTAAGTATTGCTTGTTACCAAATAGTTAGATCTTTCCATCAGAAAGGATGGCAGTGGCTCAGGGGCCACTTGAACCAAGTGGTTGTTTGAACCAAGGGCACCAGAGAGAGAGATAGCAAGTGGAGCACTAGTATTTCTAGTCTAATGATTAGGAGATGTACTTAGACACGGAAAATATGGATTTCCATCCATGTTAATACTAAGTGAAACAATTAAAAGTTTAAAAGAGCCTGAACTCAAACTACCTCATAGTCTGCTGGTTAGAATAGCCTCCCAGTTAATGAGTTAAATTTCTTCAAGTAAAGTTGGGAGTTGAACCTGGACTTCTACATCCTAGGAGGAAACTACCTGGTAGAAAAATAATTGCTACCATCACTTACATTTCCTCTAGAGTCCTGGCTAGGATAAGGTACAATCTAATTTTGCATCTTGCACACATAATTTCATGAATTTCCATCAGAGAATGGTTTCACTGTGTAGAGTGTCTGAAATTCTGGTACAAACTCTGCATTTAATTTTATGCAGTTTTTTGAGGGTATCTGGCAACTGAGATTCATTATTGCTGTGGGTAATTTTGTTTTATAGATTATAAAAGATGTGCAAGGTTGCTAACAAGATTAGCAATGAGCCCTTTGTGTACACAGTCCTAGGATGTTTGCTATGTAAGTATTATTTTTCCCACTCATTTTCTTATTAGTTCAATGGTCTAGCGATTTACTTCACACTTGTACCTTGTTATCAGGCGTGGCGTACAGAAATGTTGTATTAACAGAGTGCATCAATGTACAGCTCTGGCATTGCTGTAAGGAATGACCAGCTCCTCATGGAAATACATAGAAGCACAGATACCTCTGATAGGCCCCACTGTCATTTCCTACAAGTCACTTGTGGCACGGTAGTCCAAAATTGTGCACTGGGTGACCTCTTACTGTCCAAAATTTTAGGAAGGAGTCTGGTTGGTGAAAGAAAAAATGCATGAGGACTTCGTCAACCCATTGCCTTTCAGAAGAGGGCTTTGTTGTCTATCCATGGAAGAAGCAGAATGTCTTAGTCTCAGGTCTGCCAATAAAATCTTCACAGATACCTTGTCACTTTATTAATCTTTGGGACTACTTTTCATTCCCGGATTGTCTCCTGAGAATTTCTCTAATGTTAATACCACTTCGTGGTGATGGAAATAAACTGAACATAAAGATGTGACAAAGCTAAAGGCTTTAAGTAACAGGCTGTGGAAGGAACCAGTCCATTCTTGTTTATGAATAGCATCTTGAATGTGTTAATTAAACAGCATTGTCATTGATAAAAGGAACATCTTCAAGTGAGCTGTTTTCTCCAGTTGTTTGAATATCAATAAGATGGTAACACTTCCAACAGTAATTTGAAAAACTGCCCCGGTTTTTCTATATTTTATTGACCAATAAAATATAGAAAATCAGTGAATTTAATTTATTTAAATTTCTTCAAAGATGGTTTCCTTTCACCACCTCCTCCTGACAAATACTGCAAGCTTGGAGTTTGGGGGAGTATGTCACTTCTTCCTGCATCAAGACTTCAATTCATACTAATCAAGAATAAGAAAGGAAGAGTAGGATATGAGTCAGTGTTAGCTGATTTGATTTCCAAGTGGAGGTGGGATTCATTTTGGTGGCTGTGAGAAAATGCTTTCTCTTCTTATTTTCTTTTCTTAACTATTTTCAGTCTGTTTGGCCTCTTGCCTTCCCAGTCTTGCAGATGGTTTTGAATATATCAGAGGCACTCAACTAGAGACTGACTAGGGGTCACATTACTTTTCCAGGATCTCCTTTTCATGACTAAGTGCAGGAATCCTTTTCTGAATGCCCTTTTTTAAAGAATTTTTTTTTTGAGGTGCTTAAATTCCTCTTTGTTTGTTAGTATTCTCTTTCAAATATCAGCTTTCTAAAACATGCCAGCACTCTCCCATTTTCTGCACTTTGACCTATTTAGGCTGTGTTTTTTCCCTCATCTGTATCCCTTTACACCTCTGGGTTCATGGCTCAGGGCTTCCAGAAAGATTTCTGGGTGTTCCAATACTTTTCTTTTCCTTTTCTTTCAAGAAGATGAGTCAAAGATCTGCCTCCAAATCCACAGTACAGAAGCATCTCATCCTATTACCATCTTTAAAATACAAAAGAATCAAAAGTTGCTATGATTCGCAAATCCAGGTGCTCTAATTTGCCTGCCAAAAATACACTCAAGGAGCTGACATGTGGGGAAGGGACGGTCTAAATGGTAAGCAATGTTAGCAGCTCGTGTGCATTGTGTTCACTTAAAGTTGTATCTAGGCTGACTTTCTCTCTACTTTGTTAAAAATGGAGAAAACATTATAGGAAAAAGTAGAGCTATGATCTGAGTGTTTCCTGGCTGCCTCTGTGCTCCCCCACCATGTTCCTCCACCAAACAGATAGTGGCTAGTTTCCACTAGAGATAAGACAGGCTCAGGTCTTCATGTCTACTCATATCCAATATCTTCTTGGAATGGAAACATTTTCCTGAGAAGGACGAAGGGTGGTAGGAGTTGCTCTCTCTCCCTTCCAAATAGACAGGGCATCACAGGAGTTATATATGTTCATCCCTCAATAACACTGCATTTCTAGCATGATTCTGTGATTGCTTCTACTCCATCTTTTGGCACAGAGGATCTGTTTTCCTCACCACCCTCACACTAGCTTAGAGAGGACAGGGTCATAGTTCCTCTTTACTGTAAGGGAAATTGCCTTTGCTTTAACATCCGAGAGAGTCTTGGAGATTCTCAGTTGCCTTGAAGAAGGAGGCTCTCCCACTCGAAGGACTGGCAACTATTTTTAAGCATTTCTCCTGCATGTACTAAAATAGGCTGCATTTTCCTCATAAAAAACAACTGCAGTGCTATTACGGGAATATTTTCCTGTTAGAAATGAAGTTTTGCCTGGGAAAAGCCAACCTTCCCACGGGAGGTGGCAGCGCAAGCGGTATCGGGAGCTGGAGGGGAGCGGCCGCGGGCCGTTTCAGCACCCTGGAGAGGGCCTCGGGGGGTTCGGCGCCGCGCCCCGGGGAGCTGCCGGGACGCTGGCAGGGGCGGTGGCGGCGGGGCTCCGGAGCTGGTGGTCACAGCACACACCTCCTTGCTGTTACTGCCTGTTACGGCTTTCAGCGTTTTGGTTTTGGTTTCTTTTGTTTTGGTTTGGTTTGTTGTTTTTTTTTTTTTCCCCCTAATTCAGATCCTTGCAAATGGAAGTAAAGCATTTCATGAAACCCAGAATCTAGAAATGCACATGACTCTATGCATGGGAAACTTCCTTGTAAGATGCAGCAGCATGGACCACTACGTGTTAAACCTCTTAGCATTGATGCTGAGGATTTGCCACGGCAAAACTCATTAGTGTTCACAGGAGGGCAAGACCCACTGGCATTCTGGAGTTAAGATTTATGCAATCCACAGGAAACTGTGATTTATAAACAGAATTATACTAAGCAGTCTGCCTCTGTGTTTTGAAACTAGTTATAAAATGGCATGTCCTTTTTTCTTGCAGACTTTCTACTAAGGAGAGAATTCTGATTTTCCAAGAAAGTGCCTTGAAATCTTCCAAGACAGAGAAGACATCTTTTACCTTTTTGATTTACAACGTTTTGTTACTAGATGCATTTTATTTTCCTATATTTGTTGGGACATTCCATATTTGTGTGAAACATTATTTTATTTTAATTTGTAAATTTGTTGCCTATAGTTCAGACAAGCCAATTATTTAAATACATTGTATATAAAGAATACTAATGATATACTGATTAAATGTTATAACCATATGCAGGGAGTTGGTAAAATTTTGCTGTTTCTCTTGTTCCATTGTATTTACATCATTCTGCTCAGGCTCTTACTTTCATTATTTGCACTAACTTGAAATACAGAAGTCTATGTAACTGAAATCTGAATAAGCTGTAAGTGGGGAAGTTTTACTTGCCATGGAAGATATTTTATATTATGAAGCTTTGTTAATATATACATATATATTATTGCGCATCAGAAAAAAAAAACCTGCTCAGAAATGCACCTTGCTTTCAGAAACATTTGTATGACTATTCTGGATTTTCATCAGTTACATTTGTACTGGCACTTACGGAAAGAGTTGCAAATAATGTAAATATAAAGACTGGAAAACTGCAATGCAGTTTTGGTGGAATAAAGAACATAAAGATAAACTATTTTCCAGGAGGAGTTATTTAAATTTATTAAGAGGTTACTTATTTAATTAATATGTAAATTTAATTTATCTGGTGAACTTGCAATAACTTTCCATTGAGACTCCATCAAACTTGTGGGTTTAGTTTTTTACAGCATTTCATTTTCAAGTGGTAAATTATATTCAGATATTTATTTATTCTTCAGCTGAATGAGGTGCAAATAAAAATGCATCATGCACCCACTGCAAACAACAGAAGCCTTCTGTGAAGATGAAGAGAGGGTAATAAAATAAGCCAGTAGAAGAGAAAATACTTTAAAGTATAATATCATAAAACGAAGGGGTATAATGAATGAATTTGGCTGATGACACATCAAGCTTAACTATTTGGGAAGAATCCAAAGCACAATTGCTGCATCTTTCTTATTTAAAATCAAATTGTGATGATAACATTTGCTACCCATTTGTCCCAGCTCTTTTATTGCAAGTTTATATGATTACTTTATGAAGAATGTAGTATGAAGTGAGGTTTTTATGGTCAGGCCCAGAGTAATTGACAACACACATTGATTACTGTGCCCAAATCACAATTCTTGTGATTAACTGACCATTTAAAGTAATCCCCTCAGATTAGATGCTGTCTCTATCCTTTCCCTCAGTGTGGCCTTCATGAGCCCCTTAACTTCTATGGCCAGCACTTCTCCCTCTACAGAATAGCAGGGAAGCTCTGCCCTGGGATTCCTTGTCAAATAGCAAACAGCTGTTCATTCTACATTGTTCAGTGTGTTTCAGCACCAAAGTTGTGCAGTGTCCTATGATGCACCAGGCAGTCCAACCCACAACTTCTGCAGGTACTATCATGTTCTGTCTGGGCAATAATATATTACAGCAGCTGTTTCTAACCAGCTCCTTAGTCATAGCTGTTGAAGTAGTTACTCCCTCTGTAGTCCTGGCTAGAAGGTTGTCCTGTGCTGTTTGTATTTATGCTTAATGTGGTTGTTTTTCAAAGTTTTTGCCATCATGTTCCTTTGGTAAGAGCAACGTTTTGAAGCCTCATTCCAATCCATGTTGGAGGCAGTATTTGTACTGCAGATACAGTAGCATATGGGAAATCTTGGTGACTGAATGGTGAGATGGATAACTTTGTTTCTCTGTAAGCAACATATTTCATAGGAGGATTATTGACCAAAACAGAAGTACTGCAGCCAGGGAAGAAAGGATGAGGCCCAGAATAGAGATCAGAGTCTCCGAGAAAAGCTTCTGTCTTTAGTCCTGCTTTTGTATTTCCACTCTGATTTGTTTTCTTCTCAATTTTTTAAAAAAGTCCCTCTTTTCTCTCCTCAAGAAACTGAACACAATGAAAGGAGAAGCAAAGAAAAGAAGTTTTTCTGACAATGACTTCTTTTGAAATGTGAATTCCAATGAAAAAAAAAATGGCTTATTTAATGTAATTTTGGGGCTCAAATCTAATGTGTGAAATCAAGAGCTACACCTTACTTTATAAGAATAAAGGCATCCTCTTCTTACTGAGTAGATAAGTGGTCAACTCCCCATCTTTGGGAAGATTCACAGATGTTACGAAGATACTAAGCAGAGGTAAGTATGGCAAGTTAAAATGTTGGTAAAGAAAAAAAAAGTGTGTGAAATGAGTAAGAGGCTAAAAACCCCCAGTTTGTCTAATTTCCCAGAAGTCATATGGCTTAGGTTTTTTTCTGGAGGCATGTTATTCTTTGAGACAGCTGTGGTATCGATTCCTTCTTTCTATTTGGCCCTAGAGACTTTTTGAAGCTCAGTATGCTCTGAATGGCTGGAATTAAACCCAGCTTTTCTGTACTCTCCCTCTGTATGTTCATGTGTCACCATTCTTCTTCATAGTTTTTAGATGCAGAGCTACTAAAATTAGTGGTATAAAACCCACAAAGTGGCATACCATAGTCACTTTACTATTTAACCTGAAACATACCATGTATTCCTTCTGTTCTAAAATTTGTTAATGGGCCTACATTTTAGGAATCAAATCTAGAGGGTAGTTATTTGGAAACACAGTAAATAACCAAGTGCCATAGAAGCTGAGAGGAAATGATACACTTTTAAGTAAGCTCTGTTTTTTTCTGAGTTAAAATAATTTCACACGATTGTTTTCTCTTCCGGCTTTCCTTTAATTTTTTCCAGATGATTAAATCTAAATAATATTTTGGCTTCAGAAGTAAGGTCTGCTTATGGCTTTTCCCATAACCATTTTGTCCTTGCATGTTCAAACGGTTCTGTCTAATTTCTGTTCTGATGGAGAATATTGGGTAGGGACAGGGCCAGCAGCTACGGTGGTGCCTCATCCCGATCTTTCACTCCAGTTAACTGATCACCTTTATCAAACAACCTCCAGACTTCTGCATTTGTAAAGAAAACCACTGTAGGCAAATAATATTGATCCTCCAGCATATTCACAAGGCCACCAGCAATTTAACTTGGATCTGGGTGAATGGAGACTTAAAGCAAAGTTCAATTTTCTCTCTTTATTGCTGAGACCATCTTATTTTTTTATCATGACACTGTAGAAGGGGTCCTAGTCTGTGTTTTGGGTGCTATGCAAATACAGGACAAAGACCCTATTCTCATCTCAAAGAGGTTAAAATCATAGAGTAAAACAGTGTGAGGAAAGTGTATATGGAGACAATGACCTTGTGATGATCAGTGAGGTGGATAATGGCTTCATTGTGAGTTGTCTAAAGGCATCACTCAAAGAGAGATTTGACAGCAGACAGCACGATAGACAGCCAAGCAGCATTTTAGAGGGAAGTCTTCCCATGATGAGGGCTCTAATCAGAGAGGGGATTCTTGGAAGCTTTTCTAAAAATAAATAAAAAAAAAAACCAACTCTAAACCCACATAGGCAATAAGTGATGGTATAAAAAATTTGTAAGGGTCAGAAACTGAACTTTCAACATGGAATGAGGCATTAGTTTTAAAAAGAAAATTATAAACATGAAAGAACTTGAAAATGAGGACAAAAAAATATGGAAAGGAAAAACTTGCAGAATCACCTTGGACACAGGCACCTGTTCACCTTTTTTGAAGACCAGTAAAAGTGACAATGGAATAACAGAGATGTAAAATAACAACATGAATATATGCTCAGATCATATCTTAAAGGTTACGTAAATGGCTATAGTGTTTATCAGCTGGGGGATAGGGGGGTGACGAAGGATGAAGTTGAGGCTTGGTGACCACATAGATGAATACAGTGGGCACAGGAGACCCCTTATGTGGAGACCCCTTATGTAGAGACTCTAATTATTTCAACCTGGCCAAAGAAACCATCACGTCACAGACATCATTTTGGATCCCACCTGGTCCTTTTGCCCTGCCATGGGATCCCTAACTCACCTGGGTCAGAAACTTGGGTTGGTCAGCAAAAATAAAGACATTGCTCCCAGGCATGTCAGAACAACCCAGCACAGGGTAGTTTAGCTTGAGAGACTGTGAGCTGTGACATCTAGTTGGTGCAGAAGGCTAGGATGAGTGGCTGCCATGCTGGGAAAGCAAGTATCTGCCTGACATATGCCCCACCGCTCTCACCATCCCATGGCCAGGTGCTACCTGCACTGGACCTGATCTAGGAAAGATTGCTAAATTAAGTGGGAATAAAGGAGAGATGCAAATAAAAGGAATAAGGATAGGCAGCACTTTTTACACTGAAGTATGATTGAACTCCCTATGCTAATATTTGCTGCTGGCTTACATTTCATCTCTTTCCTCCTCCATTAACTGTATTAACAGCTGAGCTAACCACCCAGTCTTGGACATTATCTCTTCATTGTCCCTGTGAATACGAAAGCCTTATCATCTGCTCACAGACATGTGTTCAAAAATCAGATATAAGCTATCATTATTAAAAATCCACCAGGTTAAGATTTATGAGGGCATAAAAGAGATGAGTTCAGAGGAAAAACAGGGTACAAAAAATTTGCAAAGCTTTCCTGTAGCTTCACTGTAAGAAAATAATACTTAAATACTTTGACAGACAAGTTTATACCATTTGATAGCATGCGTTTTGCTTTTTGACCCAAGGCTGTGTATTATTTTTGACCATCACTCTACCATCCATGTAGTGTGTTATTACATAATGTAATGAGTATAATTAATTTAGCCTTGGTGCTCATTTGTCCTTATCAGTCCCATAATTCTATGGAAGTGCCATAATTCTGCCCTTTGTTTTAGTATCTGATTTATTTGCTTACTTGCAGTATCAGAAAATTTCTGTGCCCTTTTATTAAAGACATTTCTGCTAAGAAGAATACTCTTGTCATTGAAACTGCTGTCCAGTTTTACACTGAATATGGTAATTTTCGCATTTTGTATATGAAGCAACAAGTTCAAGGAATGATTGCTACCTCCGTTGCTACAAACAAAACTGGTGTCTTTTCTTTGAAATGTTCCTTGATGGTCATACACTCTTCTCTATGAAGCACACTTTGCAGGAGTCTTCTGTCCTCTGCAATATGAACTCCATTTATCCCATTTGCCTCCCTTAGAACACATTGTCTAAATAGTACATATATTAAATGTTTCCAGTTTATGTAACTGATATTGCTTTCCTAGTAACATTCACTTTGGTTACTGCTGAGCAATGAACTTATGTTTTCATGGAAATATTTCACTTCCAGATCTCACCCTTTGGTAGAAAATGCCCATCATTTTATGTGTGCATAGGTATGTAATATGACTTTTCTCATATGCATTGCTTTATGATTGTACACACTGAATTGGATTTTCTAGTCATTGCCCTGTCACTCAGTATCTTAAGGTCTGTAAGCAACCTTTTACAAGTCAACTTTCATCTTTGATACACGGAGTGACTTCTTATCAGCAACAAAAATATTTATGATTGATCAGTTTTTGATCTTGCTTCATAAGAGGGGGTATATTTTGCATTTGGTCGTAAGAGAGGGCTAAGAGAGAGAACAAACTGCAGTCTTTCCTTTCTTCTCCATTTTGAAGCCTACTTCTC